CACAAGCACCGCGCGCCCGGGGCCGGCGCTCACCATGCGCCATGTGCCCAGGGCCAGGCCAGCCCCGAGCACCTGGCGGGCGCATGCAAATGCCCCCGCGGGTGCCATGGTGCCCGCGAGCACAGTGTTGGGGACCACGGGTGTAAATGTTCACTGAGGTGTCTCTGTCACTCAGGGCAGTTATACACAGTGTTCCATTCAATTTTTCCCACGCATACACAGAATGAATTTGTTATGGACACCAAAATGAAGGGAAAGCATTACACAGCATATTGGTGCACAGAACAAACATTCTGTGGGAAGGGGGTGCAGGATTAGGACAGAGTGGGAGAGCAGAGATGTGAGGGCTGTAGTTGGGAGTATGGATTTTGAGGTGCACCACGGATGAGAGGTTTGAGTGCTATCTACTGAAGGGCTACAATGGAAGAGAAGATTCCCCCCAGCCCTCCCCCACCACCACCCAGGTAGTGTTCTGAGGAGGAGGAGAGGCACCTCTCCCTGCCATGGCAGCTCTGGAGCCTGGGACATGGGATAGCCAACTGTCCTCCAGCCATGACAGGCCTGGGCTGAGGCTGAGACATCTCTCCCCACCACGGCCCTAAGCGCTTGCATGGCCCTTACTAAATAGCTGCACAGTGACAGGGCCATGCAGCTTAAAGGGGACTCAGGTCATAGGGTTTCTCACCTATGTTGATTCTTTGATGTTCAGTGAGGTTTGTGTTCTGATTGAAGCTTTTCCACAGTGAAAGCAGTTATAGGCTGTGTCTCTTGTATGCATTATTTGATGTTTATTAAGGTTTGAGCGCTGACTGAAGCTTTTCCCACAGTCAGAACATTCAAACAGTTTCTCTCCTGTGGGGTTTCTCTGATGTGTAACCAGATGTGAGCTCACATGAAAGCTTTTCGCACAGTCAGAGCAGCTGAAATATTTCTCTCCAGTGTGGGAGATGCACATAAATGCCCCGTCAGGCGCCATGGTGCCCGTGGGCACCACGTTGGGGACCACTGCAATAAAGGTTCCCACCCCTGCTGTAAATAAAGACAATGTTGAAACCTTTTGTTTTGGGCATAAATTAATATTTTACTTTATTTAAAATGAAGTTTGCTACACTAACATGAGAAGGTTAAAGTACTTAACGATTCTGTTTAATGATTTGACAATATTTCCTTTCTTACTGGTTATATACATCCCCTTATGTTACAGCCACCTATGTATGTTTTATGCACCAGGACCCTAATATGAATAAGTTAGTATTTAAAGATAATCAAAGACATTTTGTTGTCACGGGTTGTTGGCTGATGGTCGGTGGAAAGGTTTGCATTGAGCAGGGTGGGTCATGGACCAATAGTTTGAGAATCACTTATGTTAGATTCTAAAGGACTGGCCCAGGGTGCTCTTTTGGGTAAGATCTAAGGTATAAATTGACCTGGGAATGGAGTTGATCTTTTGAGGTTAGAAGAACATGCTCGGATTTGGTGAGATGGATTTTCATAACCTCTCCTATGTGTCAGGTGTGGTGCTGGTTATGGCACAGGAGAAGCTGGCGTTTCTAAGATAATTTCTTGTGTGTCTATTTACTGGCCAGTGTGACACAAAGAAATGCTCTTTGTGCCTTGTTTGACGTCTTACACTGGAGGATTCCCAGGCTTGAGCTGTAAGTAGCCCAGACTCTAAGCAATTCACCTGATTTGATCCTCAAAGCAATCCTGTTATATTACAATAGGGTCTCTCCTATTTGAGATCTCTAATGTGACAGAACGTGTGAGCACTGACTAAAGCTTTTTCTGTTCACACATCTGTCATGGTTCCCTCCTGCCAGATGTTCAATGAGATATCAGCTCTAATTGAATCTTTGCTTACAGTCAGAGCAGTTATAGGGATTCAGTCTTGTGTGAAATGTCTGATGTGCAATGGAGTGTAAATCAGTGGTCCCCAACCTTTTGAGGTTGTTGGGCACCAGAGGGCGTGGCCATTCACCCGTCGGGCGCCAGGGGGCGGGGACAATTGCGCGCCTGGGGGCGGCTCCCCCCCATAGCCGCATGCCCGGGGGCAGCCATTATTTGATGTTTATTAAGGTTTGAGCGCTGACTGAAGCTTTTCCCACAGTCAGAACATTCAAACAGTTTCTCTCCTGTGGGGTTTCTCTGATGTGTAACCAGATGTGAGCTCACATGAAAGCTTTTCGCACAGTCAGAGCAGCTGAAATATTTCTCTCCAGTGTGGGTTCTCTGATGTATAATAAGATTTGAACGACGACTGAAGCTTTTCCCACAGTCAGAACATTCAAACAGTTTCTCTCCTGTGGGGTTTCTCTGATGTGTAACCAGATGTGAGCTCACATGAAAGCTTTTCGCACAGTCAGAGCAGCTGAAATATTTCTCTCCAGTGTGGGTTCTCTGATGTATAATAAGATTTGAACGACGACTGAAGCTTTTCCCACAGTCAGAACATTCAAACAGTTTCTCTCCTGTGGGGTTTCTCTGATGTGTAACCAGATGTGAGCTCACATGAAAGCTTTTCGCACAGTCAGAGCAGCTGAAATATTTCTCTCCAGTGTGGGTTCTCTGATGTATAATAAGATTTGAACGACGACTGAAGCTTTTCCCACAGTCAGAACATTCAAACAGTTTCTCTCCTGTGGGGTTTCTCTGATGTGTAACCAGATGTGAGCTCACATGAAAGCTTTTCGCACAGTCAGAGCAGCTGAAATATTTCTCTCCAGTGTGGGTTCTCTGATGTATAATAAGATTTGAACGACGACTGAAGCTTTTCCCACAGTCAGAACATTCAAACAGTTTCTCTCCTGTGGGGTTTCTCTGATGTGTAACCAGATGTGAGCTCACATGAAAGCTTTTCGCACAGTCAGAGCAGCTGAAATATTTCTCTCCAGTGTGGGTTCTCTGATGTATAATAAGATTTGAACGACGACTGAAGCTTTTCCCACAGTCAGAACATTCAAACAGTTTCTCTCCTGTGGGGTTTCTCTGATGTGTAACCAGATGTGAGCTCACATGAAAGCTTTTCGCACAGTCAGAGCAGCTGAAATATTTCTCTCCAGTGTGGGTTCTCTGATGTATAATAAGATTTGAACGACGACTGAAGCTTTTCCCACAGTCAGAGCAGCTGAAGGGTTTTCCCACCCCTGCTGTAAATAAAGACAATGTTGAAACCTTTTGTTTTGGGCATAAATTAATATTTTACTTTATTTAAAATGAAGTTTGCTACACTAACATGAGAAGGTTAAAGTACTTAACGATTCTGTTTAATGATTTGACAATATTTCCTTTCTTACTGGTTATATACATCCCCTTATGTTACAGCCACCTATGTATGTTTTATGCACCAGGACCCTAATATGAATAAGTTAGTATTTAAAGATAATCAAAGACATTTTGTTGTCACGGGTTGTTGGCTGATGGTCGGTGGAAAGGTTTGCATTGAGCAGGGTGGGTCATGGACCAATAGTTTGAGAATCACTTATGTTAGATTCTAAAGGACTGGCCCAGGGTGCTCTTTTGGGTAAGATCTAAGGTATAAATTGACCTGGGAATGGAGTTGATCTTTTGAGGTTAGAAGAACATGCTCGGATTTGGTGAGATGGATTTTCATAACCTCTCCTATGTGTCAGGTGTGGTGCTGGTTATGGCACAGGAGAAGCTGGCGTTTCTAAGATAATTTCTTGTGTGTCTATTTACTGGCCAGTGTGACACAAAGAAATGCTCTTTGTGCCTTGTTTGACGTCTTACACTGGAGGATTCCCAGGCTTGAGCTGTAAGTAGCCCAGACTCTAAGCAATTCACCTGATTTGATCCTCAAAGCAATCCTGTTATATTACAATAGGGTCTCTCCTATTTGAGATCTCTAATGTGACAGAACGTGTGAGCACTGACTAAAGCTTTTTCTGTTCACACATCTGTCATGGTTCCCTCCTGCCAGATGTTCAATGAGATATCAGCTCTAATTGAATCTTTGCTTACAGTCAGAGCAGTTATAGGGATTCAGTCTTGTGTGAAATGTCTGATGTGCAATGGAGTGTAAATCAGTGGTCCCCAACCTTTTGAGGTTGTTGGGCACCAGAGGGCGTGGCCATTCACCCGTCGGGCGCCAGGGGGCGGGGACAATTGCGCGCCTGGGGGCGGCTCCCCCCCATAGCCGCATGCCCGGGGGCAGC